TCACCATAAGGTCGAAAGACCTAAAAAAAAAAAGAAAAAAAAAATTTAAAGACTAGTAAACAGCTGAAAGACAGGAGGAAACTAAATGAAATACTCACCAAAACGCCGAAGACTAAGAAAATTCCCCAAAACCGCCGAAGACTGAAGATCCCAAGAAAAAATTCACCAAAACGCTGAAAGACCTAAAAAAAAACATAATTAAAGACCAGTAAACAGCTGAAAGACAGGAGAAAAGTACATTAAATACTCACCAAAACGCCAAAGACTCCAAGAAAATTCACCAAAACGCTGAAAGACCGAAGAAACCAAGATTCTCTAAAAGCGCTGAAGACCGGAGATCCCAAGAAAATTCACTATAACTCTGAAAGACCTAAAAAAAAAAAAGAACATAATCAGTAAACAGCCGAAAGACAGGAGAAACTAAATGAAATACTCACCAAAATGCCGAAGACTCTAAGAAAATTCACCAAAAACGCCGAAGACCAAAGATCCCAAGAAAATTCACCAAAATGCCGAAAGACCTAAAAAAAAACATAATTAAAGACCAGTAAATAGCTGAAAGACAGGAGAAAAGTACATAAAATACTCACCAAAATGCCGAAGACTCTAAGAAAATTCACTATAACTCTGAAAGACCTAAAAAAAAAAGAACATAACCAGTAAATAGCCAAAAGACAGGAAAAAGTACATGAAAAACTCACCAAAATGCCGAAGACCCCAAGAAAATGCCGAAAGACCGAAGATACAAAGAAAATTCACCAAAAATGCTGAAAGACTGAAGATCCCAAAAAAATTCACCAAAACGCCGAAAGACCTAAAAAAAAATAATAATTAAAGACCAGTAAACAGCCGAAAGATAGAAGAAAAGTACATTAAATACTCACCAAAAGCGCCGAAGACAGAAGATCTCAAGAAAATTTACCAAAACTCCGAAAGACCTAAAAAATAGAACATAATTAAAGTTCAATAAACAGCTGAAAGACCGGAGAAAAGTATATAAAATACTCAACAAATTCCAAAGACCCCAAGAAAATTCACCAAGACACCGAAAGACCAAAGATCCCAAGAAAATCCACCAAAAAACGCGAAAGACTTGAAGAAAAACCATAATTAATCACCAGTCACAGTAAACTGCCGAAAGACCTGAAATAATAAAAAAAACGCCGAAAAATAATCAGGAGAAAACATCAAACTTAAACCCTAATTTTGTGTAATTTGTGAATATCGATAATTTTCGCAAAG